GCCATAATGAAGTCAATTCCTCGAACTGATGCCAATTGCAGGCTTTGCAAGGGCAGCTTAGAAACAATTGACCACATTGTCAGTGCCTGCCCAGTTCTGGCTCGGACCAGTTACATTGAACGACATAACCGGATAGTAAAGTATGTGCACTTCGAAATGTGTAAAGCACGAGATCTACCTACTGGTGCTTCACGATTCGACCACAAGCTCAAGGCATTGGTCAAGAGTAATCAGTATCGCCTCTATTGGGAGTATTCGGTCCCAACTGACCTGAAACTATCAGCAAACAGGCCCGATCTGCTCCTTGTTGATGACAAGGAGCGCATCGCCTACATTATAGACATCAGCGTTCCTGGTGAGAACAACATCAATAAGAAAATGGCTGAAAAGCGCTCGAAATATTATGATTTGAAGCGGGAGATTTCGAGGATTTGGTCCCTCAACCAGGTTGACGTGGTCCCTGTGGTTGTCGGTGCCCTGGGAGGCTTGGTGGGGGAGACTCCTCAATGCCTTCGGACTGTGCAGGGAGGAGACCTGGCTATTGTGCAACAGGAGGCTATACAAGGTTCGATTAAAATACTGAGAACTATCCTTAACATGTAGATGCACCTCTGCTGCGTTTGCATGTTTAATAGCTAAGAGACTTGAATAACGACTGATAAAGACTGATATTTCCTTTGTTACTACTCCCTTCATTGGTTGATGTATTTTGCCTGTCGCTGCAAATTCTTTATTATTGTTTTGATGTTGGAGTTCGGATTGAGTTTCTTTCCTTTCTTCCTCTTCCTTCAACTAGTTCTTGTCCCTTTGGTTTTTAGGTTTTATTTATTTATTTTTGTTTTTGTTTTTTCACTTTCTTTTTGCTGTCCCACCCATGGAAATATTTCCCGGTGGGTCTGGCTTATCGCCTTCGAAAGAAGTGAATAAAGGAGAAATAATAATAATAATAAATAATCGACGCGGAGACAACAATTTTATAATAGCTATAAAGAGAACAAATTCTGCTGTCATCGCCACACTACAACAAAGTCATGAAGGTTTACCAAAATCGATTTTCTTGTCACAATCATCAGTGGAAAGCCGTGACTGAAGAATAACCATGCCAAATCAATACTTTATATACATTTAATAAATGTGTTACGAGAACGAAACAAAGTGCTAAAAATAGAATGAGGGAAGGTGAGACAATAGAAGTAAAGTGAGAGCTAAGTGCAACAGGGGTGAGGAACTAATTGCAACGCTAGAACTGTGTAGTTAGACAAACAATCATGCTGTGCACCTACGAAAACAATCTTAACGCAACTACATGTTTCTTCTGCTTACAAAGATCAGGCTTATGCAAACGAATACAAACAGCCTCAAGTACTTTCAACTGACTAGCGTACCGTGCACGACAAAGAACAGAAAAACTAAAATCATCATACACCTGCAGACACTTAGGGTGAGACAACAGATGAAGAAAAACGGCAGACTTCTTACGATCACAATCACCATCCGATTCCTCGTCTCCACCAACCGCAACCTCGTCCCCCGTCTCATCTTCCAACTCGTCCTCAGTGTCGTCCTCCGTGTCATTCTCCTCATCACCACCGATCGGTCCCAGGCTCGCTTCACGTTGCTGAACCTCTGTTCGTTGACTCCTCCTTTGATCTTGATGGTAATTTGTTACCATTGTTGTTGTTGTCATTGTTGTTGTTCCTGTTGTTGCCAAATCTTCTGTTCCCAGTGTCTTCGCCGGTGCTTGACATCCAGTACTGTAATAATTCATTGAATAATTAGCCGTTGATCGTCTAGGTCTTTGAATGTTGATCGTGTTGTTTTCTCTGTTGAATTCCGTTTCCTTCAGCTTTCTTTCTTCTAGTTCATGTTCAGTGCTTACCTCATCCATATTTGCCCGTGCCAGCGACACCACAGACTCAGCCCCAGCACTGCCGATGGCAGATGCAGGTGGCGGTTCTGGGGGAGGCAACGGCAACGATGGCGATGGGGGCACCACCATGATCACCTCGCCGCAGCGTCCACTTTGGTCTTGAGCTGGATGTTGTTGTGGTGTACTTTCTTGTGTTGTTATGGTGCATTGTGTTATAACGTTAGTGACAATGTGCACATTATCCATCTCCACGGCTCTCGATACGGGTAATGGAGGCACTATTGCCGTCGACGGCAATTGTGCTAACGATGGCTCTGGTCGAGGGTTCTTAGGTGGCCTGCCGCGTTTGAGTCGCAGTGCCCGTGCCGAGCCAGTCAGCATGTGCAGTGGGACGTGCTGCTTGATACGTGCGTTCAGATGTTGAAGAGTCCTACCAACGTACCGACTACCGCATTGTCGGCACTCAAATTGGTATACCAATTTAGATGCGAGTTGGGTTGGTAGGACATCCTTCCTCACCGTGAACGCACGTACAGTTGTGAAAACGGGTACCAAATGTACCGCGTAGTACGTTTGTTGTACAATTTTGCGGACCACGCGACTCATGGATAATGAGAGGTTACCTTTCCAAGGGAGAGAAAGATACGTGGGACATTTGTCCGGGCCAAAACGAATTTCCTTTCTATGCAGCCTTTCGCTCATGAGCTCCTTCAAGAGATCGTCGGGATACCCGTTCTTTAGAAAAACTGACTTTAGGAAGTCCAGTTCCTCCGCCAGTTTGGAAAATGAGCAAATACGGTTTGCTCGATCCACCAAGTTACGCACTAAATTCACCTTGTATTGGTACGAACAAAACGAGTCAAACATTATGTACTGGCCGGTGAATGTAGGCTTTCTGTACACAGATGTTACTGTACCCTGACTAGACTTTTCCACAAGGACGTCTAGAAAGGGAAGTTTGTTCGCTTGTTCGTGCTCACAAGTAAAGCGTATGGAAGGATGTAGGTCATTTAGAATACCAAGAAAGATTTGGCTATCTTCAAGAGAATCGAACCAGGTGAAGGAATCATCAACAAAACGAACGTACAATGCTGGCCACAACTGTTCTGCAATCAGTGACTCGCAGTAACCAACGAACACATTCGCTAATACTGGACCTAATGGGGAGCCCATGGCTACCCCATCAACCTGCCTATACATAATGTCACTGAAGGAAAACTCCACACCAGTCGTCACGAGCAACATCAGTTCCCGGAATGCCGTCTCCGATATCCACGGCGTATCAACTTCATCATTTCGGTACAACACATCTAGGCAAATATTGATAGTCTCTTCTAACGGAACGTTCGTGAATAGACTCACAACATCAAACGAGCACATATGCGCGGAGGCCGGAACTGGGTGGGAGCGAAGGACGTCAATGAATTCGAAGGTGTCTTTAACTGTATGTTTGCAATAGAACTTTTGCACGATGTCAAGCCAACCACACAGCCATTTAGAGATATTATATTGCGGTGATGCGACCATGGATAATATGGGGCGCAACGGACAGTTCGCTTTATGTATTTTTGGGAGCCCATAGAGACGTGGTCGGACGGAACCAATGGGCCGCATTTTGAAGAACTCTTCCTCCGATATCTGTTTACTTTGTTTACTAAAGTTCTATTGCAAACATACAGTTAAAGACACCTTCGAATTCATTGACGTCCTTCGCTCCCACCCAGTTCCGGCCTCCGCGCATATGTGCTCGTTTGATGTTGTGAGTCTATTCACGAACGTTCCGTTAGAAGAGACTATCAATATTTGCCTAGATGTGTTGTACCGAAATGATGAAGTTGATACGCCGTGGATATCGGAGACGGCATTCCGGGAACTGATGTTGCTCGTGACGACTGGTGTGGAGTTTTCCTTCAGTGACATTATGTATAGGCAGGTTGATGGGGTAGCCATGGGCTCCCCATTAGGTCCAGTATTAGCGAATGTGTTCGTTGGTTACTGCGAGTCACTGATTGCAGAACAGTTGTGGCCAGCATTGTACGTTCGTTTTGTTGATGATTCCTTCACCTGGTTCGATTCTCTTGAAGATAGCCAAATCTTTCTTGGTATTCTAAATGACCTACATCCTTCCATACGCTTTACTTGTGAGCACGAACAAGCGAACAAACTTCCCTTTCTAGACGTCCTTGTGGAAAAGTCTAGTCAGGGTACAGTAACATCTGTGTACAGAAAGCCTACATTCACCGGCCAGTACATAATGTTTGACTCGTTTTGTTCGTACCAATACAAGGTGAATTTAGTGCGTAACTTGGTGGATCGAGCAAACCGTATTTGCTCATTTTCCAAACTGGCGGAGGAACTGGACTTCCTAAAGTCAGTTTTTCTAAAGAACGGGTATCCCGACAATCTCTTGAAGGAGCTCATGAGCGAAAGGCTGCATAGAAAGGAAATTCGTTTTGGCCCGGACAAATGTCCCACGTATCTTTCTCTCCCTTGGAAAGGTAACCTCTCATTATCCATGAGTCGCGTGGTCCGCAAAATTGTACAACAAACGTACTACGCGGTACATTTGGTACCCGTTTTCACAACTGTACGTGCGTTCACGGTGAGGAAGGATGTCCTACCAACCCAACTCGCATCTAAATTGGTATACCAATTTGAGTGCCGACAATGCGGTAGTCGGTACGTTGGTAGGACTCTTCAACATCTGAACGCACGTATCAAGCAGCACGTCCCACTGCACATGCTGACTGGCTCGGCACGGGCACTGCGACCCAAACGCGGCAGGCCACCTAAGAACCCTCGACCAGAGCCATCGTTAGCACAATTGCCGTCGACGGCAATAGTGCCTCCATTACCCGTATCGAGAGCCGTGGAGATGGATAATGTGCACATTGTCACTAACGTTATAACACAATGCACCATAACAACACAAGAAAGTACACCACAACAACATCCAGCTCAAGACCAAAGTGGACGCTGCGGCGAGGTGATCATGGTGGTGCCCCCATCGCCATCGTTGCCGTTGCCTCCCCCAGAACCGCCACCTGCATCTGCCATCGGCAGTGCTGGGGCTGAGTCTGTGGTGTCGCTGGCACGGGCAAATATGGATGAGGTAAGCACTGAACATGAACTAGAAGAAAGAAAGCTGAAGGAAACGGAATTCAACAGAGAAAACAACACGATCAACATTCAAAGACCTAGACGATCAACGGCTAATTATTCAATGAATTATTACAGTACTGGATGTCAAGCACCGGCGAAGACACTGGGAACAGAAGATTTGGCAACAACAGGAACAACAACAATGACAACAACAACAATGGTAACAAATTACCATCAAGATCAAAGGAGGAGTCAACGAACAGAGGTTCAGCAACGTGAAGCGAGCCTGGGACCGATCGGTGGTGATGAGGAGAATGACACGGAGGACGACACTGAGGACGAGTTGGAAGATGAGACGGGGGACGAGGTTGCGGTTGGTGGAGACGAGGAATCGGATGGTGATTGTGATCGTAAGAAGTCTGCCGTTTTTCTTCATCTGTTGTCTCACCCTAAGTGTCTGCAGGTGTATGATGATTTTAGTTTTTCTGTTCTTTGTCGTGCACGGTACGCTAGTCAGTTGAAAGTACTTGAGGCTGTTTGTATTCGTTTGCATAAGCCTGATCTTTGTAAGCAGAAGAAACATGTAGTTGCGTTAAGATTGTTTTCGTAGGTGCACAGCATGATTGTTTGTCTAACTACACAGTTCTAGCGTTGCAATTAGTTCCTCACCCCTGTTGCACTTAGCTCTCACTTTACTTCTATTGTCTCACCTTCCCTCATTCTATTTTTAGCACTTTGTTTCGTTCTCGTAACACATTTATTAAATGTATATAAAGTATTGATTTGGCATGGTTATTCTTCAGTCACGGCTTTCCACTGATGATTGTGACAAGAAAATCGATTTTGGTAAACCTTCATGACTTTGTTGTAGTGTGGCGATGACAGCAGAATTTGTTCTCTTTATAGCTATAATAATAATAATAATAATAATAATAATAATACGAAGTAGTGGTTGCGACTTCGGCGATGATTTGTAAGAAAGGGTTTGCTCCCCACACCGGAGCTCGCGCTATTCCGCCGACTTTACTTGACACTTGACTGACTCACGACTGCCATCCAGGGCACACGAGAAGTCCATCGAACCTTCGACTCGGCAAACCTGCAAGAAAGCACCACTCCCTGCTCAATACACAGTGTTTCGGGGAATTCACCCCTCATCAGTTGAGCTTGAGTAGGCTGAGGAAGATTGTGCCTGAAGAGCACCACTTATATAGTGCTCTCCAGGCACAAACATCACCAGGGATACAAACTTACAGAGACGCTCCATTTCCAGCGCGACAAACACCTCGTGAACACCAGATAGCAGCGTGAGTCAGTGTCGCTCCTGGACAGTGAGACCAGACGTTGAGGTGTTCGCCCACTTGGCAGACGCAGAAACCCGCTGTTCCTCAGCACTTCATAAGTTCTTTGCGACCGGGAATGTTGCTGAAGGCACCACCGTAGTACAGCTGGATGCCAACGCATCTGCTCGGGTGATGTTGATAATGCTTTTGCCTGGTCAGCTAGAAGAATGGCAAAGAACGAATCCTCCTGTCGTCCAGTGTGCCTTGTGATGTGAGACTTGAATTCCTGCCTGTTTTTGAATTCGGTGTGTTTGCAGGATTCCCAGCGGCATTTGTAGAGGGGCTGACGTTGTGTTGAGGTCTCCTCGATATTCAGGTGAGTGAAATGGATATGAACTTGCAGGTCATCTATAGTTGAAAAGGTTTCTCTGCAAGTTGCCCACTTGCAAGTTGGGTTCTCAACACGCTCACGCACTGCATTCATGGCTGGTTCTAGTTGGCGAAATATGGATGCATACTCCTCATTGTGCTTTGTAGTCTCCATTCTCTCTCTGGAGGCAACAAGGCGCTCCAATCGTCTGGTCACGAGGCTAGTCTTGTCCCGCCTCTCACGTAGCATGTCAACAAGCTTGGCTTGGGGTAGATGGATGAAGGCGGTATGTGGGCTTGTTTCAGTGCCTCGGGTTTTAAATCTGGACAAGCCTCTTCTCAGGGTACCATCCAAAGCTTTACAAGCAGCGCAAACGGAACTAGTACCAGCAGGTACGAGTATAGGACATGCTACTGTTCGTATGCATGGTGTTGGTTCACATGTTTCGAGTTTTCCAACTACCGCACCAGACGAATTCTTGAACGTTCCACCATCGAGCCGGTTTTCAATCCAATCTTTGTATTTGTCGTATCTGCAGCCCTGGCAATTATCGGCTCTCTCGATGGCTAACACGACGGTCTCTATATCTTCACAGGTGAGAAGCTTTTCCGGAGGCTTACATATGCTGGTCATGTCAACGATCTTACTTTGCATCAACACTTGGAATGTGAAGTCTCTCTTCACCAGTACAGTTAGCTGGGGACAGCCAGGCCTTGGGCTAAAATAGTGTGCCTTTAGGTCATCGTCTTCAATTGCCTTCCAGCGTGCCATGCTGTTGATGCGCGCCGCAATGCCATTGAAGTCCATGGCAGCAGGTGTAGGTGATGTGGAGGGTGTGGGGGGTGTGGGTGGTGAGGCCCACTGGCTGATAGCACCCTCAACGACTTTCCTCACCTCCAACACCTCGCCGCCATCTAGAGACTTGCTGTCTGCCTTCCGAAACTGCGTGTTGCACGATTCCACGACGGACGATATGATGGTGCGGAAGCGTGTTGTCCGCAGGCGTCCAAGATATTTTCCGTAGTTCCCAGGCTTCTTGATTCGGTTGAAATAATTCGATAGCTGAATGGCACTAATTTGTTCCCTCGACTGGAGGAACTGGTTGGCGACCATCACAGCAGAGGAGTAGAGCTTGCTGGACGGAAGCCGAGCTCTATACGGTTCCTGACTATCACTGTAGACCAGGACCGCGTAGACCAGGATTTCGCGGACTGAGGGTGGTACTGAACCACGCCAAGACAGTGGTGCCCCAGTTGTTGCGTTCGAGTCATTGCCAGGGGCCGAGCATTTCTCCGCTCTCTCCTCGTGGGTTGTAAGCTCTGTATAAGACAAAATACAACACAAAGTGAACATTGGTGATACGATTATTTTTGTTATGGCATTCACCTGTTCGAATTTGCACAGGGTGCATCAAACCCTGTAGCCTTTGCACAAGTCTGACCATTACTACGGGCAGATACGACTGGCTATGTGCAATAACTTGGGGTGTGGGGTGGTTCTCATAGCGTTCCAATAAATTGCTTTCCCTTGTTTGTTTGTTTTTCTGCAGGCATTTCATGGATTCTCTTGATGTTCTGACTGAGTATTAATAACTCAACTACATGCTCTGCAGTGCACGTGCGCATACTGTGTGTGTGTGATACTGTGATAAGCGGTACAAGCAGTATACAGGATATTGACGGGTATTCACCTTGAGTGCATTCGCCGATAGTGTGACTTTCGTTGCACAGAACTTTGCTCAGTCGCTCATGTGACTTGGTCTGGGTCGGAAGCTCTGTATAAGACAAAAGAAGACAGATAAAAACAACTGAACCAGTGATATGTGTATGTGTGTGTGTGTGTGTGTGTGTGTGTGTGTGTGTGTGTGTGTGTGTGTGTGTGTGTGTGTGTGTGTGTGTGTGTGTGTGTGTGTGTGTGTGTGCTTCTGTGATAAGTGGTATAAGCAGTCCACAGGGTATTCACCTTGAGTGCATTCGTCGATAGTGTGACTTTCGTCGCACAAAACCTTCTTCAGTTGGTCAGGTGGCCCGGCGTGGCTCGGAAGCTCTGTATAAGACACCATACGTCACAGATAAAAACAACTGAACCAGTGATATGTGAATTTTGCGCGTGTGTGTGTGTGTGTGTGTGTGTGTGTGTGTGTGTGTGTGTGTGTGTGTGTGTGCGTGCTTCTGTGATAAGTGGTATAAGCAGTCCACAGGGTATTCACCTTGAGTGCATTCGCCGATAGTGTGACTTTCGTCGCACAGAACCTTCTTCAGTTGGTCAGGTGACTCGGCGTGGCTCGGAAGCTCTGTATAAGACAAAATACGACACAGATAAAAACAACTGAACCAGTGATATGTGAATTTTGCGCTTGTGTGTGTGTGTGTGTGTGTGTGTGTGTGTGTGTGTGTGTGTGTGTGTGTGTGCTTCTGTGATAAGTGGTATAAGCAGTCCACAGGGTATTCACCTTGAGTGCATTCGCCGATAGTGTGACTTTCGTCGCACAGAACCTTCTTCAGTTGGTCAGGTGACTCGGCGTGGCTCGGAAGCTCTGTATAAGACAAAATACGACACAGATAAAAACAACTGAACCAGTGATATGTGAATTTTGCGCTTGTGTGTGCACGAGCATGTGTGTGTGTGTGTGTGTGTGTGTGTGTGTGTGTGTGTGTGTGTGTATGTATGCTTGTGTGTATGCTACTGTGATAAGCGGTACAAGCAGTATACAGGATATTGACGGGTATTCACCTTGAGTGCATTCGCCGATAGTGTGACTTTCGTCGCAGAGAACTTTGCTCAGTCGGTGAGGCGACTCGGCCTTACGTTTCCTGAAGGCAATGTGTTCAGAACAGTTATGAACAGCTATGAATAGTTAAGAAATGACAAATATTGTTTGCAGTTCATGGGCCATATAGATGTGAAACACTTTGAATGCAGAAGAATGAGGATAGTGGCATCAAATACTGCATGGATTCTGGTTGATATGCTACTTTTTTTTCCCTTCCATGGAAAGGTGAGTACATCGTCGAACTTCATCTCGAAACTTCACACAAACCTAGAATGGAACTTGGACAACATGAAGGGGCCATGGGCATGGTGTGTTTAGTGGAGAACTAGTCCGAAAACAGGGTGTCATTCGCATTGACTCAATTCAAATTTGAGTACATTTCGTGAATAACTTACCTTGACATTCCGTCGTCTCCAAAGCAGTGAACTTCCCAAAAAAAATTAAAAGCCACGGCTCAACCTAAGGTAATGCGTGGTACGTATCAGAAACAACCAGCTTTCGCTCTGGAGATCCAGAATAACCTCGAAGCATATAGCAAAAACAATTGAGAAAAAGAAGATGACGACGACGTTTCAATCACGCTTCAAATTTCGCGGGTCGAGTGCGGCAATCCTCGGATGGTGAAATGTGTGGCGTGTCGCCTCCCGGTATTTTACGACTCCCTGGTGCCCAACTCTTGCGATCTGCCCCGGCGCCTTTCCCGTACAATTTTGACCAAAAGTGGTTTGTGAACCGTTCGCGCCGGTGATCGGCGGCTGCCGGGAGCCAGACTTTGTCAAAATATCAAACCAATACTTGTCCTAAATTTTCCTAAATTGAAGCTAGAGAGGAGGTTCGTTCGCCATTCTTGTAGTGGCTTCAAGGTGGCAAATAAGTCAGCGTACCAGCCCGTCCTTCTCGGATGATCTGCTGGACCATTGTGCAACTTATGAGGCAAATACAATTGAAACAAATATAAAATATGATGGACACATTGGCAAGTTCTTGTGACTTCATCAACGTTTCCAAGCATAATTTCGACACAATCGCTAATACTAGAATGCAATAAAATGTGTAGAAGTAGTTTCATGATCTCCAGTAAAAGGTAGCACCGAATGGCCATCACCAAAAGACCTTGAACTACTGAAGAAACAAAGAATTCAACCTTCATAATAGCAATAAAGAGAACAAATTCTGCAGTCATCGCCACACTACAACGAAGTCATGAAAGTTTACCAGAATTAATTTCCTTGTCACATTCATCAGTGGAAAGTCGTGACTGAAGAGTAACCATGCTGAACAATGATTAAATATACATTCAATGATGTGTTACGAGAACAAAATACAGTGCCAAAATAGAATGAGGGAAGGTGTGACAATAGAAGTGAAGTGAGAGCTAAGTGCAACGGCGGGTGAGTAACTAATTATAACGCTAAAACTGTGTAGTGAGACAAACAATCATGCTGTGCACCTACGAAAACAATTTTAACGCAACTACATGTTTCTTCTGCTTACAAAGATCAGGCTTATGCAAACGAATACAAACAGCCTCAAGTACTTTCAACTGACTAGCATACCGTGCACGAGACAAAGAACAAAAAAACTAAATTCATCATACACCTGCAGACACTTAGGGTGAGACAACAAGTGAAGAAAAACGGCAGACTTCTTACCATCACAATCACCATCTGATTCCTCGTCTCCAACAACCGCAACCTCGTCCTCCGTCTCGTCTCCCAACTTAGCTCTTAGCTCTCACTTCACTTCTATTGTCACACCTTCCCTCATTCTATTTTGGCATTGTATCTTGTTCTCGTAACACATCATTGAATGTATATTTAATCATTGTTCAGCATGGTTACTCTTCAGTCACGACTTTCCACTGATGAATGTGACAAGATAATTAATTCTGGTAATCTTTCATGACTTCGTTGTAGTGTGGCGATGACTGCAGAATTTGTTCTCTTTATTGCTATTATAAAATTGTTGTCTCCACGTCGATAATTTAAATTCAAGCTTCAATTGGCAAACCTGTCGTAGCATTTGGGCACGTTCTGTACTACTTTGTAGTAGATTTGGTACTCGAACCATATGCGCAACGAATCAGGAGCTGGCTCACCGCCGATGTCTTGCGGCGCCGATTTTGCTTATGTGAACCAACCCTTAATTAAGCACCAACCGGGTCACAGGTGACCCGGTACTATATTTTCAACCGGGTCCAAGCACCCCCCAACCCGGTGGATTACCCGGCTCACCCGGGTGGATTACCCGGCTCACCCGGCGCTGGAGCAGACACTGTCTACATGTAGATACAACGTAAGAGAACAACAAAAACGACAACAACGAACATAATCGACTACAAAGGCCGTGTAGGTGTTATAAAAGTCGTTCAGGTGAGGAAAAGTACACTCCCTCCACCAGTGGTCTCGTGACCAAGGCGTCAAACGCGCACCCTGAGGAGAGAAAAGAGATTGTGTGTAGGTTCCAGAAAGGTAGAAAGAAGGAGGGAAAGAGGTAGAGAGCTAGGTTAGCAAGTGCGTCGGAGTGGAGTGAATGAGGGGGTGAGTGAGTGAAAAAAATGAAAATCTAAATTTCTTCAGAAAGCTAGGCCGCCGAACCACCAGCAGCAGTCAGGCAGTGCAATATCGTAAGGTACAATGTATACGTCACTCAATACCATGACTACTTCCAGGCGTGAGGGGGACTGCAGCTACTACATGGCTGCGTTCGAATCTTACGCAAACGGCTGCGTAACAGGACTCTCAAGCTTTCAACTTCTTCTGAAGTCGCTGTGCCCGCTACCACCTGCAAAGCAAGATTCTCTAAGGACAGCGGTTTCGTACGCACTCTGACGATCGTCGTTGCTTGATTGTTATTCTTGGGCGACTTGCCACCTCCTACAACATACACGCCACCAATGAGATCCTGGCATGAGTAATGTGCAAACCGTGCCCCCAATGGTGGCTGGATGTGTGACGTGTTCACGCCATACCAGCATAGTAAGTCAGTGTGAAAGATGAAAATGTCATTGTGCGAACTTTGATTCGTTCCAATTTGCCCGAAACCACCACAGAAAAACAGTAAGGACGTCGAGCTCAGGGCCAAAAAAGCATGGCATCGCGCTGAAGGCAGATCTCCAGTCACCGGCAGAGCACCACTCCACTCCGCTGACCGCAAATTTAATCGATGAAGATCATTTCCAAATTCCCCTAAGGAATTGCAAACTCCGCCAAAGACGTATGCGAAGTTGTTGAGATTGGTGAAGGCAGAGCGAGATCTTGGGTGTGGAGCATTTCCAGTGCACATCATCTCTGACCATGTACAGTTTCCAGTACTAGCAATTTGTTTTCAGGACATGTACTGCGTTGTTTACATGACTGTATCCCGGGGGGGGGGGGGTATATCCCGGTTATTATTTCCAGGTATGACGCTGGGGCTTGAACGCCCTCAGTTTGCGAGGGCCGCTCCCCAACTACACCAAAAACATAGCATTCTTTCAATTCCACATTGGAACACATACCAACGTTCGCCTTCGGTGTCGGGGAACTGCCGAGAATGTTCACCTGGGAAACGGTCCGTGTACTTGGATTCAGATGGCCGACTGTATTTTGGAAGGTCAGGTTTTCATTTGTCATTTGAATTAGAAAATATCAGAACATACGGCAGCAGCTGCACCACCACCTACGTGAAGCTGGTTAGGATCGGTCCATAACCATGCTGGATGGTGTTCGATTTGCACTGATTTGAAGTCATTTTCCGGGTCTGGATCATGTGGACAACGAGGCTTTACCGATGGTACCTGTATGCACTGTAGTATTCCCTCTGGACTAATGCAAGGGCAACCACGCAATGTGTAGATCGTCGAGTCGACTATGCAACTAGTCTTTATGACCCACGGATGTTCCGTTTCCACGCACGTTAGTAAGGCGTTCCTCCACACACGAACAGACATGGCTGGCTGAATGGAAGGAGCAGCAGTGAGACTGGGGTAGCGAACAGCTTGCACAAGCGCAACCGTAACAGGAAGAATTTGAGCTCACAATGGCTGTGAACACGGGCTGATACGGAGGGTGCTAAAATGGCAGTGAAAAGAGTCCAATACCTGGGGAGATTCTTCCTACTCGGATTGCTTTTAATTATTTTGTTTGTTCTGTCCTTGGTTATGTGTGAGACATGCTGTTGGTCACAATGCATGAGCATCAAGAGCGTGCACACGGATCTCACCGTCAAGCAGTCCATGCTGATAATGTACACGTGGCTTTCAGCACCGGCAAGCGTGAACAACGGAAGAGGCACTCCAGTCTTGTAGAATTATCAATATGCTCACCTACGAAGTAGTTGTCACGGTTACCAGTACCATTATGTCAGCATGCTTCAACAGCTCTCGGGATAATAACCGTTCTGCACCCACAGAAGGACGGTGTTGGATTCGGCATTGTTCTTAGAACAAGAATTGTACGAGCCATGGGCAACATCCCAGCATTCCGCCGAGCTGCCATTCCCTACACGTTGTAGACTGCTACACAGTTGGTCATACCATGGTATTCAGTACCCACGAACTTTGCAAAGCCGATAATATGATAATGTACCGTGGTGCATGCAACGATGGTACCACCACTTCGTAGACTGCCTCCCGTTCATTTCTGTGCTCCTGTCTTTATTCTCGTCAGCTGTGTACTTCAGCAGTTCAATTCTGCGCTCCGGTCCTCTTTATTCTCGTGAGATGTGTACTTGTTTTGCTGTGTGTTTGGTTTAGTTGAATTCACACAGTAACCGTGTACTTCAGCTATTCTCTCCGCCCTCTTCTGAATTTGACTCTCCGCTGGCCTTCTCTCCTCCCATCCCCTTACATTGTATTGGGCCTCCGCAGCTTCCTCCCC